TTGTCTTTTGAGTTGTGACAAGGTACTTGATGGCGATGAAGGGACAGTGAACAATTGAGTGTTGAAAAGCATTTTTAGTTTTTAAGCAACAGTTTGTCAGGTTGCTTGCTGTATAAGCACATGAATTCTGATGTAATGGGACAGAATTCCAGCTTAGATCTCTGCTAAAAACTTTCAGCCTCAGCACTATTGACATTTGCGGCTTGTTAATTCTCAGTGACAGGGGGCTCTCCTATGCCTTGTAGGATGTTTAATAGCATCCATACATAGTCCCTCCCCCCATCCTCCCAGGTGTGACAACTATAAATGTCTCTAGACATTGCCAGATGTCCCCAGGATGGAGAAAGGAGGGGGTGTCAAAATTGCTGTTTGAAGGGCGCCTGGGTGGCTCAGTCGTTAAGCGTCTGCCTTCAGCTCAGGTCATGATCCCAGCTTCCTGGGATCAAGCCCCGCATCGGGCTCCCTGCTTGGCGGGAAGCCTGCTTCTCCCTCTTCCACTCCGCCTGCTTGTGTTTCCTCTCTCACTGTCTCTCTCTCTGTCAAATAAATAAATAAAATCTTAAAAAAAAAAAAAAAAAAAATTGCTGTTTGAGAACCACTGGTCATCTGAGAAACTACCTGCATTGCTAAAAACCACCATTGCTCATCAAAAAAGCCTTTTCCTATAGCTTTACAAACTGTTTTGCCTGTGAGTCCTGTGCAGTATAAATCTGCAAGCATTCACTTTAAAAAAGTTTACTAATTAGTGGAAGGTAACGAGGAGGTAGAAGTTTGGGATTTTCCCACCCTCGCTGTCCAGTTGCGAAACATCTGAGTTTCCCCAATGATCTGTGCAGGTTTGGGTCTTTGGAGGACCATTGCGGGCAGATTGCCCAGTTTGTAGAGCCATTGGGGTTTTTTTTTGAGGTTTTGCTGGCTGTATAACGATGTCAATACCTCTTTTGTTCCAAAATACATTTTAAAAGTAGCATTCCTTTTCCCCCGCCCCCCCTTTTGGGGAAGGTGCCAGGCCCCGGATTGTCTCAGGTAAGCCTTGTTGAGAGAAAATGTCCTTCCAGACACACGCGGGACAGGTGGGCTGTCTGTGTGGAGTTGTTTACTCTCGTGGATGTGGGCCCTCTATTCATTCCCGTGTGTGTGTGTGTGTGTGTGTGTGTGTGTGTGTGTGTGTCTGTCTGTCTCAGATACACTATTTGTTAATCATCTTCTTCTGAGAGTAGCCATATAAGCTGTCACTGTTTGGGCTTGATTCTTCTTACATGCTTCCTTGGAAGAGCGCTGGAGTTAAAGAGATCATCCTTTTCTGGATGGAGGGGCGGAGTATTGGGAAGTGGGGACTAGACAGGTGAGACTCATGAGGCACGGATCTCAGAACAAATTCCCATCCGTCACCTCCGTTAGGGCTGCATGGTAAAGGTGGAGTGTCTCAGCATGTGTGGTATTCTATGCCCTTAGGAGCCTCCCCTTACCTGGGAAGGGAAAGACAGTGAGGGCTTCGTTGGAGAAGGAGCGCGCCCTCTCCCTTCCCCATCCTTGGGGACTCTCAGGCTAACTCCCTGTGAACATGGCTGGGCTGCTGGGGTCACACGAGAAAGGCTGTTCTAGGGAATAAAAGGTTTGTTCTCCTCGTTCTGGCTGTGAGCCCTGTGGCAAGCCAGTCTCTGCTCTGTGAAATGGGATCCACGGTGCCCACCCTTCCTGCCTTGGGGGTGTTCTGAGCTGAGGCCGGACAGTGGCCGGGGGGCATGAGGCTGCAGTATCCATGTTCCTGGGTCTACAGCATCTTCAGTAGTTGTGGTCCATCCTCTCAGTACTTAATACTCTTTACAGTTTGGTAGGATTTTGCTTTAAAAAAAAAACCTTGGGGCACCTGGGTGGCTCAGTTTGGTTAAGCGTCCGACTCTTGGTTTTGGCTCAGGTCATGACCTCAGGTCGTGAGATCGAGCCCTGAGTGGGGCTCCATGCTGGGCGTGGAGCCTGCTTAAGATTTTCCCTCCCTCTCCCTCTCCCCCCCACCCCATGTTCTCTCTCAAAAAAATAAAATATAGCAATAAAAATAAAAAGAAGAAGCAGGAGCAGCTTTCAAAAGGGCCGAGCAAGGGATGGAGAAACTTGGTTGCCTCTAATAATGGATGGTGAGCTTTCTTCAAGGATCCTGAGAAACCAGAGCTGGGTAGAGGTGGGCGTTTCCCAGGGCCAGTTACGGCTGTTGGACATCCCTGTTTTTGTTTTTGTTTATTTTTTTTAAGGATTTTATTTATTTATTTGACAGCGGGAGAGAGAGTGAGAGAAAGCACAAGCATGGGGAACAGCAGAGGGAGAGGGAGAAGCAGACTCCGCACTGAGCAGGGAGACCAACTCGGGGCTTGATCCCAGGACCCTGGGATCATGACCTGAGCCAAAGGCAGTTGCTTAACCAACTGAGCCACCCAGGCGCCCCCGGACATCCCTGTTGATAGTTCTTAGCCTAACTGTGGGGTTTAATCATGTGGGTCTACTTCGCAGCTGTGGCGAAGCCCCTTTATTATATAAGCTAGTTTCTCTTTTCAGTAATATATCATAGAACGCTTTCTAGTTCATCTTTCTAAAAACCAACCTGGATTTCGCAGAAAAGCTCTCCTTTCCTTCTCGTGTATCCAGGCATTTGCCTGAGTATGCCTTTGCTGTGACATAAAATCGTACCCCTGGAAAAGTCTTTTGGTGACTCTGTTCTGGACTTTTGGGAGAGCGGGGTGTGCAGGGAGGGATGAAAGGGTGGTGTCCCCCACCCAGTAGTTAAATCCTTTCCCCTCTGCTTGGCTTCTCTCATCTTGTAATCCGTGCCATGCTTAATTACCCCGTTGCACTTGCTTGTGTATGCATCATTGCATTTCCCCCCCAGAAGCCGGACATAGCTCTTATTCTCTAAGTAATGATAGCAATTGCTGGTAGGGCAGACCTGTTCCTCATCCTTCTCCAAGCACATTTCTTATGGCAGGTGTCTAGTTCCTAATTAAGTGCTAATGAGCATGCCTAGTGGACCATGATGCCGCTCCCGGCCTCTCCAGTTTTATTTCTTGCTCTTGCCAAGCTCTTAAAAGGTGACAGAGCAAGATTCAGTATCTTTGGGATGACAGGAAGGTGATTTTAGGTGTAAAGAAATTGTTGTTATGATCTCAGATGGTGAATGAGGAGTTTATAAATACTTGCCAAGAATACTATTAATGTTCGCCTCTCTGACCTCTTTCTCCCCTTTCTACTTTTCCTCTGCTCAGCCCTGTGCTCTCCCCTTAGAAAGAAGGGGAATTTCAAGAGAAGGTTGGCTCCTGAAGATTTTTTTTAGAAGATGCTAGGAGTGGTTGAAAATTTACTGTAAACTAACTGTAGACACCGATTTCTGGCTTTAAGATGCTGTTTTGTCTCACTCTTGAGGGCGGGAAGCGTGTTTAGGATTCAATTAAAGATCAGTGGCCTGGGTAGAAATTACTGAAGATCTGGCGTGAAGATTTAATGTATTCAGTACACACGAGGGGGTAATAAATAAACGAGTAATTGAGTCCCAGGGAAGTGAGCACAAATCAGAATCTTAAGAATTTTCTAACATTACACCTTAGAAATTGAGCTTTAATCGTTTTTACTGTCTTATCAAAAACAAGTTTTATGTTGGACAGCTGAAAGGTGGCCAGATTTATGGCTCAGGGGCCATTTCTTGGATACTTTTTCATTTACTACAACATGCTCTGCACTATAATATATCAGAGCACCGGTACTTTTTAGTGTGAACAGATTTCTAACTTCTGGAATGGGTTAAGGGATAGAGGCAAAGGCATTTGGGAGTGGGGATGTGGGTCACTGTGGGGAGAGTCCCACACTGTGGGGTTCCTTGTCACGGCCTCTCTGGGTCTCAGTGTTTCCCTCTGTGACACGGAAGGGGTGGGTTTGGGGTGTGGGGCTCAGGAGAAGAGAAGCGATAAACACAGTCTCAGGCTACGGTTTCTTCCAGCCGTCACAGCGTGGCCCCCGGGGCCTCCCTCTGTGTGTGGTGGGACGGTGACCCGAGTGCAGCCATGAGGGTCATTCCTACATGAACCCCCCTACCCCTGCCGCCTGCTAGGAGAACCTCGGCAGTTTCCTTAACGCCCTGCGCCTTGGTTTCTTCTGTGAAATGGGAGTGTCCGTGCTTCCTCCTAGGTCTGTGAGGGCTCAGTGAAATAAGGACACAGGGGTACCTGTGAGGGGAAGGGGCGTGCCTAAGAGATGCTAGATCTTTCTCCAGCCTTCCGTTAATTTAAGGTAGTATTTTGGTTACGCCTCCTCATACCATCGTGGTAAGTTAGCACAAGAATATTGGGGAAACAGAGTCAACTCGTAACTGGTGACTAGTGGAGAAGAGTAGCGTTACTGGTTTGTAGGGTGCACATCTGTGCCTCCCCCGCTTTAACCTTCCTGAAATCGGAAAGAGTCTTGCATTTGGGGACATACTGGATTTCATCCCCGGAGGTGCTTAGAGGTGGATCTAACACGGGACTGCTAGCCTGGCTGGCTGCTCATCCCATACTCTGCGGGCATGACTCATGCCAGAAGGAGGCAGTGTAGATAGATCTCGAATTATATTTTGGGAAGATGGGGAAAGATAACTGTATAGATGGAAGCTTTTGATGAACTGAAAATGCTAATCACATTTTTTCCCCTTTCCTCCCTTTGTCTCTTTGTTCCTGTCATGTGTTCGTTGAACTTCCTGTTGTGTTTCCTCCATTGTGGGTACCTCTGCCCCTCGATGTTGTTGCCATCTCCACCCTCATCCTCTGCTCCTTCCTCTCTCACCTCCTCCCCTTCCTCTCATCGCTTCCTCCTCCCCTTCCTCTCATCTCCTCCTCCTCTCCCCACCCCCACCTCCTCCTCCCCTTCCTCTCATCTCCTCCTCCTCTCCCCACCCCCACCTCTCTTCCCCTTCCTCTCATCTCCTCCTCCTCTCCCCACCCCCACCTCTCTTCCCCTTCCTCTCTCACCACCACCAACAGCAGCAGCAGTTGCAAGCTCAGCATCTTTCTCATGGCCACGGACCACCAGTGCCCCTAACACCTCACCCTTCGGGCCTTCAGCCTCCTGGAATCCCGCCCCTCGGGGGCAGTGCTGGCCTCCTGGCGCTGTCTAGTGCTCTGAGTGGGCAGTCTCACTTGGCAATAAAAGATGACAAGAAGCACCATGATGCAGAGCACCACAGAGGTGAGAGGCCGGGCAAGCCAGATTAGGACTTGGTCCTAATACTCATACAGTGCTGCAAACTTGTGTGCACCGCTAAAGAAAGCCCCACCCCATACAGAGAGCAGACAATGAGCTAAGAGGAACTGTCGCAAAGCTTGGCCACTGAAACCCAGTTCTCCCTGGAAGTTTTCAGGGTTTAACGTGGGCATCTGTAGATTTCTTGATCTCTTTAGATTGCAGGCATCTTGACATCTTGGCAACTGCCTAGTTAATGCCAGTGGCCTGTACCATATTATGGAAAACTGTTAACTGCTTAATTGGGTAATTTTCAAAGAAAGTAATGTTGTTAAATGGGGCGAAATAAGAAGTTAAATTTGAAAGTGAATGTGTTCAAATGAAAGGTTTGATAATTGCATCTGTTACTACTTGGTTTCATAGGCTTTAATTCTAGTATGCATTAAATATTGGGCAAAATTGCACTTGACTAATTTTTTGAGGAAAAGTAATTTATTCTGTCAAGAAATAAAAAAAAATAGGCTTTGTGTATGGTTAAACTGTAAATCTTATGTTTACAAAATACTGTAATTTTCAGGAAATCACTGTATTAGGAATGTGCAATGACTTATATAAATAAAAGCCATTTTTAAAACTGTTTGGGGCTTGTGTTCTAATTATTACCCCCTTTTTTTTATTTCTGTTCTTGCCTCTGTGTCTGAACGGGCATGTCTGTGCGTTTCTTGGTAACCTCGGGAGCAGACAGAGAACCGGGCACAGTAAGTACTCAAACGCCTACTGTACATAAACACATTGCCCTTCCAGCAATGCACCCCAAGCTGCCTTTCTTTAAACATGGCCACAGACACGCATATGCTCCCTGTCTCTCTCAGTGACCTGGTTTTTTTCTTTTCTTTTTTTATATTATGATGGTCTACCCTCCCTCCCCCCAACCTTTGTCTTTTTTTTTTTTGAATAAAACTTTTGTGAGATGAGAGGGACATGATTTGGAGGCAAAGCTGTCTGCTGTGATTACTCATTTGGAAATACACTTTGATCTGTATGTGCCCCAGACCCACTTTAAAAATATGTTTATCATTGCATTCCGACTCCAGGTTGCCTGGAGTTTTAAAAGAGTATTCGTTTTTGTCTTAAATCAGTTTTACAGGCAAGAGGTCACAATCCATATGTGAAATTGGTTAGTAATGTTTTATTTCTACCTAAACCATTCATTATCCTCCACAAATGCATCTTAGTTGCTAGGTTTCCATATCTAGTTTTCTTTTCGTAATTGTCCTTGGAGGGTGAACTTGAACTTAAATTTATTTTTGACCAAAGAACTGAGTGTCTGAGTAAGCTCTGAAGAACAAGGAAACTCAGTGGACGGAGGCTCTGGGCTTTATAAGGGTTCATTTTCTCATCGGCCTAAATCTTACCCATTTTACATATTGCACGTTCAGTCTGTACGTGTATCTGCCAGTAAGCTGTGGGGAGATCGAATCTAAAATGCATCTCTCAAATATTGTGGAGCAAATGGAGTGAGAAATTGGCCCCTTTTCAGCGAGGATAACCTACAACTTGTGCCTCCTTTCCTCCTCCTTTCCTTTCCTTCTGAACATGGCAGTATTTTGGCCAGGTTAAATCTAAATATGGTAGCAGAATTGGGATACTGAACTTTTAAATCATTCTGATCCTTTTTTTAGGAGTTTGGGGGAGGGGGAAGATAGGTGAATCACCTGTGTGCAGAAAGTTCTTTTTCCCTCTTCTGTGTAGAATAGTGGCTACTTTTAAAATTCTCTTTGAGACCGATCTTGGTGTTACTTTTTTTGTTTTGTGTTTTGTTTTTTTTTGTTTTTGAGAGGGAGAGAGATGGGGGGTGGGGCCGGAGGGGCAGAGGGAGAGAGAGAATCTCAAGCAGGCTCCATTCCCAGTGCGGAGCCTGATGTGAGGCTCGATCTCACGACGTGAGCTGAAATCAAGAGTCGGTTGTGTACTTTATATAGTAGGATGCTTTGGGGGCAATGGATAAGGGTGAAAAGATGGGGTGGCTAGTTTTAAAATTCTCATAAGTTTTCTCTGGAAAATGTTGGGAGGGAAAGAGGGGAGAAAAAACCCCAGCTAGGGAATAAAATACCCTACTCCTAAAGTACAAACCTCTGTGAACTGACTTTGATGGAGGTGACTTTTATGTTGGTTGCTGTCTCAGTGTCACTGTAGATTGTCCTCTTCTGAGCCACGTTCACTCAATAGACTGTCAAAAACCCTAATCCTGGACCGAAGAACAGAGATGGCAGGAGATGTTGAGAAAGCTCCTGTCCCGTAGTCTGCTGCAGGTTTTAATTTATTGAACTGATTCTAGGTTTGGAACTGTATTTCTAAATTAGCTTTCTGTTCTCAGTACTGTTTCATCTTAAATCACTGTATATTTGTCGAGTGCTTGTGCGATGTAAGACAACACAGGAAGTGTAGCTATAGTTAGGGATATGTAGGCACACGTATTACAAGCCCTTTCTCAAAGCATTGAGGAAAGGTGACAAAAATATGAGAAGATCTCAGGTAGTAGAAAGTTTCAGCGAGAGTTCTAGACAGTTGTGGAAGGGGCAGCATGGTATGTATTTCTCTGAGATGCCGTGGCACAAGTGATGAGCTGAGGTGTGCATGCTGAACCCAGTAGAGTCGCTTTCCATGGCTTCGCTTGTGTGTCTGCGTGTATCATATAACCTGTTTGTATTTTTGGCTGATAAATGTAAGCAAGAACTTAATTCACTTGGGGAAGTGAGGGTGGGGTGGAGGAAGGGTGAGGAGTTATACCATCCAAATGCAAAACAGTCCTTGAATTTCGATTGTTCTTAGGTCCTCAAGTTGAGTTCACTGCCAGTGAACTTTCAAGTCAAAATATGGTGGATCTATAGCATAAACCAATCTGTACAATACCATAAAATGAATGGTTACTTAATGCGCTATTTGCATGTCTCTTTCACATCAAATTTTTCACAAGTCTTAATGATAATTTTATTTTCAGAATAAGTATACATACTGTGTGTTTCTGCCTAATTATTATAGACCTCACTTGGTGGTGATGATATAAAATGGGAAAACTGCACTAATTTGTAACCTAAACATTTAATTCGGTCTGTAGAGGAATGAAACTGTTCACTGTCCACTTATGTAAATGGGGTTTTGCTGCAGTTATATAAAATGAAGTAGCTCTTTAAACTTGTGTAAAACTGAATATGAGAAGCAGTGGGTAATGAGAGGATGTGTACTGCTAGTGACTAAAATATTGTAGTACTTCTCTATTTAATAAAGTGGTTTGAATTATGAAGTCAAATTTTACTAGGCAAAAAAGTCAGTTGATTACCCTATATTGCTGCTGGGTTTTTTTGATTTTTGTTTTCAAACGAACAGAGCAGTGGTTTTCAAACTTTACGGGCTCAGGATCTTTACATCTTAAAATTATTGATGACCCCAGGGAATTTTTCTCTGTGTGGATTACAGATTTTGAAATTTTTCTGGATTAAAAAATTAAAAAAAAAAAAAAACAAAATCACTTTAACTGGTAAAGAGCTACTTAATTTGTGTTAGCATAAATAACTTTATGAATGAAAATTAACTATTTTCCCAGACAAAAAATTGTAGTGGGAAGAGTGGCTTTCTTCTACTTGTTTGCTGGTATCTTCAGTGCCTTCAGTTTGCAGAGAGGATAGATGTAGTCTCATCAGCTTCTGTGTCCTCTCTGTGGCAATACATTGTTTTGGTTGAGGTATAGGAAGAAGATCTGCCCCCGTAGAGATTTGTAACAGTCTCTGGGGACCTCAGGGGTCCTTGGACGAAAAGGAGAACCTCTGTCATAAGTAAGACTGAGGAGTTCTGAGACATTCCACGCTAGTATCTGGTCTTATTTTTTTTTTCCTGCTGTTCTATCTCTGTATTGAACAAACATGATAATTATCTGTATCAAGTGCAGCAATCAGGGACTTTTTGTAGACCCAGAGGGAATGTGAGTGTGTATGTATTTTCATCTGCGCATCTAAACCCGGTTTGTAGATAGTTTGTGTTTGTTTATTTCTAGTGACAAAATTATTACATTTGCTAGTCTAAGGTTATTTGGTAGGAAAACAAACGAGCCTTACGGTATGTAGCCTGTTCCAGTGTAAAGCCCAAGAAAAAAATGAAGGTAAGGACAGTGAAAATATGGACACTGGTTTTTAATTTTCTTCTTTTTGAAAGAGATGAATGATGAAGGGAAGAGCTTTGAAGAGGGTTTATTTTGCTATTTGGCTGTTGATTTTAAATTAAGATCGGACTACTGTTTTTACTAATTTGCAAAACTTGTTTGCAAGTTTTTTTTTTTTTTTTTTTAACATAAGGCTACTTGTCAGAGTGCTACATTTGAGCAAAGAAATATGACATGACCTAACAAAAAGGACTTTATTTCTTATGTAGTAATAAAAACTTCGGGTATTTCAATTAATGTAAAGATGAATTGTGTTCAGTTTTGGCTGAAGGCAATCTTCCAGTTAAGTCTGCTTGAAAGACCTGGAATCAGATTTGACAAAGCATTTGTATGGGTCTTGAAAAAACATGACAGAACGTGTGCTTTGATGCTCATTCATTTAAGAAATATTTAACGAGCACGTACTACGTGCCAGGCACTGTGTGAGGCACTGCATGTGGAATTGACCCTTGAACCACACGGGTTTGAACTTTGCGGGTCCACTTATGTGTGGATTTTTGTTGATAAACACAAGACGGCACCATAAGTGTGTTTTCTGTTAGGATTTTCTTAACATTCTCTGGCTTACCTTTAAGAATACAGTATATAGTACATATACAAAATATGTGTTAATCAACTGTGTCATCGGTAAGGCTTCCCGACCAACAGTAGGCTATTAGTACTTAAGTTTTGGGGAAATCAAAAGCTAGGCATGGATTTTTGACTGAGATGGAGGTGCACCCCTAATCCCCACGTTGTTCAAAGGTCAGTTGTACTTGCTGCCATTTTGCAGTGATATCTTTTAATGTCACAGCCACATATTTGTCAAATGAAAAACACTGGAATGCCTAACGTGTGATCACTATTTGGAACTTTTGGAAGAGGGAGGAGATGATTGGGATAGGGGTCTGGGAGAGACTCCAGAGCACAGGGTCTGTGGACTTAGGCGGGGTACACATGTGGGCTTCAGGAGGTACTTGAACTCCTCTAAAACTGTGTGCATCATGTTCTGGGTTGGTGCTCCTTTCTGTTAATTGTGGAGAGAAATGATAACTTTCATCCAATTCTCCGAAGAGGTCCCTAGCCCTGAAAAGTGTTACACTGTTAATGTATTTAGAGGTCATAATGGTGCAGCACCATCATCTTACCAATAAGACACCAAGCTCAGGGAGGCTAGGTGCTTCTAATTATACAGTTAATTAATGGAGGTAGAGATTTAGATTATGTCTTTCTGAGGAACTGGGTTGTCACTGCCGTAACTGACTTTGTAGAATTATCAAGTTCATCTTTAGAACTTACTTAAAAATAGTCATGACAGTCATCATTTTATTTACTATGAGGTGGTGTCTTTATTTTGTGTTTCTTCTGTAGCTGTTCTGCTTAACTGGTTAATTGGTAAGACCAGATCCTACTAAGGATCACCCATGATTTTTTTCTCAAATCACACTCAGCACTATAGAGTGTAAGGAGAATCTAAGACGTGAGTCTCTTTGGAGAATACTTCACTGTTGGCCTTTTTCTGAAACTTTGCTTTTTTGAATATCACATTAGCTTCCAGTAGCC